AAATAGTCGAAAAATTTAGCTTTTAATTCATATAGCGGCATCTGGCTGTTTTTCTTTAAAGGTTACTTTTATACTTTAAGTAGTTTTTTCGGAGCACATACTTTTTCACTTTTACTTGAGTAAAGAGGTCAAGTTGATAAACTGCAGTATCTATACTTCTACTTTAGTAACAAATGTGTGTAGTTTTGACACCACTGGTACCAACCAATTGATAATATCCTCTAACTCATTTTTAGAAGTTCTAACCTATTTTGCATACCCAAATGGAGAATCAAATAACTTTGGAACTGTAAGCCCAACTTACAGGTGCAACACATTATTTGAAAGGCTCTAGTTTCCGAAAATATAAATTAAAATTGGGTGAGTAAAACGCAGACCAAGCTGCATCAGTTCAAACTTGACTCAAAGTAGTTTTTTTTTATTTTCGGAAATGATAGGTCTTTTTTTGAAGCAGTAATAAAGACATGCTTGAGAAAAGGCATTTCTCAAGTTTTAAAGAAAAGGCATTTCTCATTGCACCAAATGTGTTCTACATCATGTCAACCACACATGCAGAAAATTTCCGACCTCTAGCTATAACAGTTCCAGAGCTGTGGGGTTTGGAACTTATGGTGTCAGCTTGGAGCGGCGCTCAATGGCTCCACCTGCTGGTGTCTGTGTGTTTCTCTCTAACAAAAGCCTGTAATGCGGTACCCCTTTAAATAAACTACAAACATTTGGGCTCATTTGAAACCTTATTTCATTGGCTACAAATCCCAACACCCAACGTGGTCTTAACCAATAACAACAGAGAATATAACGTCGATCATAACGCGCGTCACTGGCTGATAGGAAGTAAACCAGAGGTCAGATTTTGGGAACTATATTTCGCTCAAATCGCATCATAAAAATATGCAGACACTTGTGTCTTGTAGATAAGAAGACGATGCAAAGAACCATACCAACAATCGAGGAAATAAATATTAGAAGCAAATATTAGCAAGATGCTGAGAATAAGCTAAGACCAGCTAACCTTTCTGATGTCAACAACCGGACGTTATGGTTCATTTTCTCATCATGGAATATTTTTATTACTGATAATCTGGATTACTTTTAATCTGTGGACCCTTATGGACGAATAAAATATAAACAATTGAAGATTGGATTTATAAAATGGCTTCTGGACGCCTTCAAAAGGTATGTAGCTGTGGCTGCTCTGTCATGTTTACATTTTTGACATGCTGCTATATCTGTTTAAATTGTGCTTTGCTGCTCGCTGTGTCCAGAAAATGATCTTGGTGGTTGAATTGTGGAGAATCTAAGCTTTCCAATTATGTCAAACTATATTGGTAGAATTTTAATGCATTCTAAGTTATTTACCCAATTAACAGGGTTTTGAGATATTTAGAATGTCTCTCAGTGCTGTAAAGTGTCCACTAGAGGGTGCCAATGTCCACTCTTAAAGCATGGCCTCACTGGCTTCTGAAAGAGAAGTCATTTTTTTTATTATTTTCACTCTACTGTCACAAGTACATTTAACCCATCCCCTTGGGGAGCAGTGGGCTGCCATTGAGTGCGGTTAAGGGTCTTGCTCAGGGCAGCCGGTGGGGGTGGGACCTCCCCAAAGCAGGCATCAGGGTGAAGGGTATAGCCTGGCAGCTCATTTCCCGCAGCTGGGATACGAACCCCGGCTTCCCTTTTGCAGGACGGGTGACCTACCAATTGAGCAACTAATGTGTAGGGTTCAGGGTCTGGCTCAAGGACCCTGAGGGGCTCAAATTCAGAACCTCATGATTCAAAACTCTATGCATTAACCACTAGGCCACAACTCCCCCTAAAAGAATGCTTTGATATGGAAGTACAAAGCATTAAATATATATGGTGCAATTATTTTTTTTTATGTTTTTTATTTTTTAAGGCACTAGTTGCTCATTTTTATCTTTGTTTTTTGTTTTGTTTTACAGTAGGCTGACAGGAAAGGGGGTATAAGCGGAGGAGAGACCCGGGTCGGCCGTGTCAGGGACTTAGGCCACCAATCACAATCATAATAGTGGATTATTTTAACCTTCTTAATGCCAGACTGGAGGCATATTGGAACAGAACCATTCAGGGCTATTTACTTTGTTTAATTATGTGGAAATAACTTTAATATAAACACTGCACTGGAAAAACAATCTAGAAATAAGTACAAATTTCTTAAATTTTGTGTATTTATCCTTAATTCGAGTAGCTAAATGAGAAAGTTTGCTAATGGGATGAGTATTTTTACTCTTAAAATATGTTAATTCGATAATATGCACTTGAAACAAGACAATGCAATTGTGTTTTCTTATTGTAAGTGTAAATTGTCTTGTTCCATTGGCAAAATGTCTCTTTTACCTTCTTAATCCAAGAACAATTGCACTTATTTTAAGAAAAAATTACTTGTATAGATTTTGATTTTTTCCAGTGTGGATAAAGTCTTTGGGTTTTCACCTCAGTCGGCCCATTTAAGTTATTTGAGTTACCGAGTTCAGGACGTTCAGACATTAAAATAAGGTAAATCTAAAAACAAAATGGCTGAAGATGAAAAAAGGCGAGTTGTTTGTAAATTTAAGGCCCTGATTTACCTGGAATGCTGGGAAATAAATGTCTAAGAAACTCCTGAATTCTTTTTTTCGTCCCAGCAGACCTGCAGTTGAAAAAGTCACCAGCGGCGGACAGGAAATAATCCACTGATTTCCACGTCTTAAGGAAACCGCTGACCTTTTATGGCAAACTGGTCACTTCAGGGTTAAGCTGCTCTGAATTCACTGAATGGTGCAAAATCATAACATCAACTTTTTTTCATATGCAAACCTCTCTTTGCACCAATGTTGTTGTTTTGCACAACATTAAATGGGTTTATGCTGCACAAAGAACCTGAATCATTAAATAAACTTAAGGTGGATATTTTGCAGACCAATTCTGTTCCTGCATCAATAACCACTGATTATAAAAAGCTGTGATCCACCTTCTACCTTTGAAATGCTGTCATTAATAAACGTTTGATCTCACCAGCCGTTTGAATTCCTTTTCTGTGAATCCCATGTGTTCGTGCACGATGCTGTAATCGAGCAGCAGGTCGGAGTTGAAGATCAGAGGGTCGTCTGTGTTCAGGGAGTAGTTGGCCTGGTCGTTTCTGAAGCTGCACAAAGCAAATGATCCAGTAAAGAAACCAGCATAACCCAACCGGTTAGTTTGCGTCTCAATGTGACTCACGTGATGATGGGGTGTACGGTAAAGTCTGCGTTGCAGGCACCTGTCAGCCTACTGGAAAGAGGACACATCTGCAAGGAGAAGAGCAGCAGGCAGTGCAGTGAGCTGAAGTCTCCACTAGGGGGAAGAATATCTCTGCTTCTGCATGGAAATCTACTCTACTGATGTAAAACGTTTCAGGATATTTAAATGCTATATGAATGAGACTAAGGCAACTTTTACTGCTGTGTTTTTTCTCACCTCAAAGTGCATATTTTGATCTAACAGTTGTCGGTACAGAGTTTGGTCCTCCAGTGTTCTGTAGCCGTGTCCCACCCGCTCAGCTTTCAGCACTTCCACAGCCTGGATACCAGAAAAAAACCTTTTATAAGTGGTTCTTCTGAGAAGTTTAGTTTGAAATCAGCCATTTATTTAAGCCTAGTCTTAAATAATCCTCTAAACAGTTAGGAATCATATGGTCTAACCCTACAGCCAGAACACATTCATCTATTTAAGAGTGGGCTCAAAGTTGACCGAGATAAGACCAATAAAGTTCTGAGCTAAGCCGATGCAGCTGCTGGCTCCAGCTCAGTCCTTCCTTTGCCAAGTTGTAGTAATAATAATAATAATAATAAATGATTAGTAGTAGTATTTTTTCAAAATAGGTATGGACAATTGTAACATGTAGAGGATTTTAATTCAG